AAAGAACTAGCATTATAAAGGACCACCCAAATAATTTATTATGTCTGGAACAACATGATTCGAAATCCTATTAGATAAGATGCTGAAGAAAAAAAAAACAGATTAATGGTAAAAAAATTAATCAAATATTTTAATATATCTGAAAAAACATTATTTGAAATCCTATTGAGACTATTCCAATTTTATAAGTATGTTATAGAGTAATTACTTATCTAATTATTATATATTTGTAACGTTATTTAAAATATTTACAGAATATAATTACAATAATCTTACAAAATGCACATGTTGTATTATTGTATACAACCATACTATTATTATTAAATGAATATTAATTGCGTTTGTCTGTTTGTAAATGAAATGGTAAAAACTTTATATTCGATAAATTAGCTGGGATAAAATTTTAAAACTTTGTAAATTAAAATAAAACATGATGTCTAACTGTGAAAAGGTGGACGACATAGCTCAGACAGTAGTATGCCCGACTCACACGCCAGAGTTCGTTGGTTCGATCCGTGACAAATTCTAAATTTGTCATAACGAGTTTGTATATGACAATATAATTATAATTGAATACATTAGTATATAAAGTTTCGACAATAGTGAAAAATTTCGATAGAATTTAGAAGACGTAATAGTATTAGTAGAAGTAAGAAGATGGATTCAGAAGAAAGATGAATCAAAAAAATTAGGATAAAAAGTAAATAACTTAGAATTTGAAATGTTGAGTTAAAATTAGTTAAAATTTGTATTGTATTGTATTGTATTGTTAATTTAAAAAAAATAGTATAGAATATGAAAATGAAACGTTGCAGGTGGCTAAATGCTCCAAAAAAACTATAAAAAGTTTTTTCAGTTTGATATATTTTTTTCATCCTTTCAATATAACATTTTATTTTTTATGATACTAGAAATACTATTTAATAATATCTCACAAATTTATTTATTGTTTTCAACTAATTAGCACGTATTTGTAATTCTAATTTTGTTGCATTGTGCAATATTCCTATTTATATTAATTACTCAATGTGTAGCAATATTTTTGTAAAAACGGTTAAAGTTATCGTAAACAATTTATACATGTGATGGAACCAGTTATTCCAGCCATTACTATAGGATTCTCATGTTTCTGGGCACTTGTATTTATGTTTCCGATATTTAACGATCACTTAGTTTTCTTAAATGTTTTATTTCATTCTTTCACGCACTTCGTTGTTATTTTTTTATTAATGTTTTAGATATCATTTATTTATAGTTGATTATTTTAAATTTTTAAATATTTTATGTCGATATTGATATTACTAACAAGTTTTACATAATAAAAATATAAAATTTTAAAGTCTTATGGTAATTATAATATGAATAATATGAATCTGTGCAGAAAATTGAGCACCATCATTTGGTTAAATTTTTCTTGACCATTAATTTGTAATTATTTTTATGGGCGGTCCTTTATTTTTATCGTTTTATCGTTCTTCCGATTTAAAAATTATTTTCATTTATAGACGCATACTAATAATGTTAGTGCAATATAATTTTTCAAAAAATTCAATATAAAATTAAGAGTTTTTAAATGAGTGTGGGCGAACTAAAATGTAAATCATGATTATTCACTTTAGTTTATTAGTCAGTCACCACATATAATATATTTCTATATATTATAAGACAAACAAGCTGACGCCAGTGCCAATAATAGCCATAGTCATAATAATAACTATTGTATGATGAAAATTCCTTATATGTCAAATAAATATTTCATTTAATGAAAACATATGATGAATGCTAAATTAGACACACATATTACATCTTGGTAAAGAAGTAGTATTATGTTGAAGTTTTCCTTTCTTAATGGTAATATTATATGATTCCCTTAATATAAATACTATAAGATTCCTACAAAATTATCAATTTACAAAAATTTCTAAAGTAGACACTATGATTAAATAATTAATTGTGATTAACGAATACTTGAATGATAAATTGGCAGAATTTTGTGTATCGACAAGTAATCTTCGTCATGCTTATAAATTGTTGACGATTTAGATTGCAATTTTTAGAAAGAAAAAACAAAACATATGCTCAAATTTCAAGATATTTAGAATATTTTGAAGATATGCCGGTGCAAAATAAAGTGGTATTTTACCTCAAAAATAAAATTTTACCTAAATTTTGAAGACACAAAACTATACTCACATAAGTGCACCTGTTAACTGTTTAAAATAGTAGAGAATTGATATTTATTTTTTTTGAACCTCACATTTATGTTATTTATCATTTAAGTAGCAATTATTAATTAAAAATTATACCGTAGAGATAACATATAATATTAATCTCTCAAGTCTAGATTAAATGTCTATTATTTTTTCGAAAACATCTTATCTTGTTCTCATTAAAACATTAAAAGCACTTCAAGAGGCTTTACCATTGATTTTGATGATTAATGATAGCGCGGAAATTCTAATTTTATTCGTGTCAGACATTATAAAGGATGGAGTTTGTGATTTATAAGACATTATATATGAAAAAATCGCTTTATAATAAAAAAAATCAAATATATGAATAAAGAAAAAAATATCGTGAATTGATTAAACTAAATAACAATTCAAAGGACTTTATAAGTATTTCATAATAATAATTAGAATGATTATTTTTAACTTAAATTAAACAACTTCAACAAATATTGATTCCGGTTACGAACCAACAATACACGTATGAACATATTAGTATTAAAATTTATTATATATGTTTAAAGTTTTGTTCAAAATTATGTTACCAAGTTCGTGAACATGAATGCTATAGTATTAATATTTATTGTGATGCAGAATGACATGAATGCTATAGCATTTAAATTTCAAAGTTAATTTATTTATTTATTTGAATTTCATTTTATATAACCTCACGTTTTTGTAATTATTATACATGACAAGTTATACAACCTAACTGGACCTTTAGGTAATTTTGTATTATATTATCTTTTCCCGTAGATTGGGCAAGTAAATTGCAAAATAGAAGCGCAATACTTCACGTGGATGTTATAGCATTCATCGTTTGTAATGATTAAAATATGAATTGTAAAATAGAAGCGCAATACTTGACGTGGATGCTATAGCATTCATCGGTGGTAACGATTAAAATATAATAATCTGACTATCCTTATAAACGGTGTTTAATCAAATGTCGGATTTTACTATCCGTGAACGTGTTAAACAAAAATAATAATAAAAAAATGTAGATTTCGTTTAATAAATATTTATTTTAATGAATAGTTTTCAGAATAAATTATTCAATATGAGAAATTACTGCATTCTAAATAAAACCTCATACTATAGGAAACAGAATCAGACATCATTTAAATTTCATTCGTTGTAGTGAAATTTATTAATAGATAAGCCGCCTTGACCTTTCGGTTTATCATTGAGTTTAATTTAGAAACTCTCATTAAATATCTAACAAATTTATAAATGCAATTCTCCAAATACAGTTTTAATACATTCAACACATCTTTTGAAAATGTAGATTTATAACAATCGAAGAAAAAAAAACTAAACTTCAACATTCCAAATAACTTCAGCCATAAATGCAAGATCTATTATTAGCATGAATAATTTTGACATATATAGGACATTAATAAAATTTATAAACGAATGCGAGATTAAACTTTAGTCTCAAAATTAAGCTAATACACGAGATATAAAAAAGTTAACTTTTATATGGTAAAAACCGTGCTAAACAAAAATCACCATAAAAAGTGCTTTTTGACAGTTTTTAATATGATGAATAATAACACATTTGACGAAAAATTAATATTATATATAATATCAAACACATTTAATAAATTATAAGAATATTAATTTATTTTAATAATAAAAGAAACTAGTGTTGTATGGCATCGTGGCTTAAAGCAAATTGCTGGAACTTCCCGTACCGTAAAGAAATGTTGGAGGAATGTTAAATGTTTTCAAATAGATTATTATAAATATTGTGACATTGTCTAATATTTATGAAAATTATACAAACTGAATTACAAAGTTAAAATTATTCATTAAAAATATATAAGTGAGCTTTAGAACTTAAGCCAGAATTAAAATTAAAATCAAAATTATTTTTGATATACAAGAAAAAAATGAGAAGATTTTTCCAAAAGCAATTGTTTTATCAACACAAGCAGGAAGTTTTTTGAATCATTCATTTCGGATGCTTATTTCTCTTAAAAACTGTAATTTTATGTATATTTAGCTCTGTATCTTCGAAATGGCTGGGCCTGTCCGAGCCAAAAACTACTAACCATTTCTCCTAATGGACGCTCCGTTCTCTCTATTTCTCTTTTCTGCACTATTTGCTCTTTATCTCCGTATCGGCTGGTCCTGCCTTTGCCAGAAACTAATCAGCACATCTTATATTAAAAATTCTATTTTGAATATTGCACCTTCTTTATAGATAACAATTAAAATTAAAAATTCATTTAACTGGATTGCGATAAATAAGACTTAACATTCTATTTAATTTTTGGTTTTCGAATAAAGTTTATACACGCAAAAAATTTAGTTTAAATCATAAAATCTTCTCTACATATTTCTATCAGAAACTACCATTAAGAATTTGTAACTGTAACATACATTTTGTAGTGTTACATTTTGACAGTAAAACAATGAAAATGTTATTGTAGATATAAACAAATTATAGTACCTATAGTGTTTATAATTTCGTGTGAATGCAAAGTCAATAAATTTCGTTAATTTTTTTTTTTCAAAAATCGTGTAAAACTAAGGTGACCAAATTTTTTTGCATGAAATCCGGAAAGTATATTTAAAATAATATTAGCAATGCCGGGACGCAAGGCGGAAAATCGGGACTATGGTATGGTCATCTTACAATTAGTAAAACGAGTACCGTGTAAAACAAGTGTTAAGATGTTTTTTGTAAATCTAATTCATTTAAAAATTCACTTTCAATTCAATTCAATTCAAGCATTTTTTCTCAATTTTCCTTTAAAAACTCACCAGACTTTCTCTTCTCATGCAAGACTAGCGATTTGGTGCGTTTGACGCGCAAAGACCGGCGCCTTAGCGAACGCATTAACGTCTCAGGCATCCGCGAAAACCGCGGCGGCTCCTGAACGCTTTTCCGATCACCCGGGAGGAAAAAATTCTTCACAGCCAACATCTTCATTCGTTATAATAATAAAAATCCAAATGGGTAAATTTTGAGACACAAATATATCACGTCACTGAATCGGGTTAAATGTTAATCCATAATTTGAGATAAAAACTTTATTCTGTCCCCATTGTAAAGAGTAAGAAATATCACTTTTTCACTTGGCATTAATATGGAGCGTGATAACAACTGAGAGTTTCAGTTACAAGTAGTAATAATATTAGCGTTTGTTATGTACTTTGCACAAATGTTTACTACAACACATGTTATTAATAAATATAAATTCAATTTATATAATTTTAGTTTAGCATAATTTTGGACAACGTTTTCTTGACACTGAACCAATCACAAAATGTTAACATGTCATGTAAAAATTGTTCACAAAGTATTTTTTTATTCACTCAATTTATATTTCCCTTTCTGTCTTTATGTTTTTACAGTACCCGAAAAAAATTTTTAATTTAAATTTTCCACAAAACATGAACTATTCCTTTAATTCCAAATTAACAACATGCGCACTTGATATCGTTTTCAAATTACCACTACAAGTATTTATCAACTTTTTGTAAAATAAGTCATAGTAATTTGTATTAAAATAAATTATAATTTTTAAAATATTTTTCCTCACTTGTCAACTAATTACCCGTACATATTAATTATATTTCTTGTCTATCAATTATAACCGACCGGAGCGCGAAATCGACGTCCATCCCGCTGCAAACGCAGTGCAATACTGAACCTGAAAGCGCGGTGCGTCAGCCCGTGGCCCGCCGAAGCTTTGGGACTCACGCACGCCGCGCCGACCGACTCTATACGATCGCGACGTGGATGCGCCACGAATATGGTGGTGGGAATAAATTCGATTTGGTTTATCGAATTTAAGTCAGAAATAAATAACAAAATATCACTTGGGGGAGGGGTATAAAAAGATATCACGGGTATTTTATTTAACCTGTTTTTTTTGTTTAAAATTCCAAACATTTTCAAATAAAATAAAACTAGTGGTGTATGGCATAGATTTTTTTTAATCTTTGAAAAAAAATAGATTTTTGAGAAATTTGAGAAAAATTTAAAAAAAATCTTTTTGAGAAATTTGAGAAAATTTAAAAAAAATCTATTTGAGAAATTTTGAAAAAAAATGTTCAGAAGGTATGCCAAAATGTACAGAATATTTTGAAACGTAAAGATATATAAACATTTTCATTTTCGATTTTTTTATTACTATAACTTACCTTACGGAAAGTTAAAAATTACAATTTTTTCTCGTAACTAAAAATACATGTGATGTTTAGTGGGGGAGGAGGGGGTCTAATTTTGAATATCACGACGTATCACCAAGGGGAAAAGGGGTGGTCCAAAACTCCTTAAAAAACGATCACGTGATTAATGAACGCCCCCTTGTCAAACAGATTGTTGTCGCTTCAGGTTGATTTCAGTGTAATAGATTAAAGGACATTTGGTTGATTATTTTGTTGTTTTTTTTTTTGTTATACTTCTAATTACAAAGTGTCATACGAGGACGATCAGTAATTGTTTTGACGTTATTATGGTAAGCAAGTAAGTTAGTTATAGTAAAGGGCCGAAAATCGAAAATTAATTTTTTTCGCATATTTTTGAAGTTTTTAAACATTTTGGCACACCTCAGAAGAAATGGATGTGTGTGTGTTTTATTGTCCGCATTTTTTATCTAGTGTCTTTTCAGACTCGCGAATCAACCGATTTGAATGGTTCAAAAAACATTTGATTCCTATTGATAAGAAGATGTGCTGATTAGTTTTTTGGCAAAGGCAGGTCCAGCCGCTACGGAGATAGAGAGCAAACAGTGCAGAAAATAAAGAATTTTAGTGAGATCCGATTTGAATGATCCAAAAAACATTCAATTTGTAATGATAGGAGAAAGTGTCGATTAGTTTTTGGAAAAGGCAGATCCAGTCGTTTCAAAGATACGGAGCTAAATGTACAAAAAATTCCAGTTTTTGAGAGAACTAAGCATCCGATTTGAATGGTTAAAAAAACTTCCTGCTTTTGTTGGCAAAACAATTGTTTTTGGCAAAAAAAAATTGTATATCAAAAATAATTCTAATTTTAATTTTAATTCTTGCTAAAGTTTTACTACTCTAAATAAATAATTTCAACTTTGCAATTCAGTTTATACAATTTTTATAAATATTAGACAATGTTTATTTATAATAATCTATTCGAAAACATTTAATATTCCTTGAACATTTCGTTATGGTACGGAAAGTTCCGGCAATTTGCCTTGAGGCAGGATGCCATACACAATTAGTTATTTTCATTTTTAATTCTATGAGGTATATCGGTTCGAGCATGAGCTAGCACCAACTAGTCCCGGGTTCGCTGGTTCGATTAACGCTACCGCCAAAACCTGACACCAGACAGTTTTGATGTCACATTTCTACTTAGGGTTATAGATCACAATATAATTTAAGGCTATTTTTGAGATCTATATTCTCGAGTGAAAATTTTGTATCATGCTGCCTGATATCAAGTTTGGCTGAAGTTGGATTTGAACCAGGGAATGGTTTCGTGGGCATAGTTGCAACATACACTCATAATTATTAAATATAAATCTAATATAATTGTCACATGTCATACGTAGTGGTTGACCAATGAGTTGACCCTTATAAAACATGAGGCTAAGTTATAAACAAACAGCTTATTAGAAAGCAGAAGTTTGAGAAGTAAAAAGCGAACTGAATTTAACACAATTGTTCTCAATTGTTCAGAGCTTTAATAATAATAATAATAATGGCTATTTTAATAGCAAGAGATAGTGAAGTAAAGATATCCTACATAAATGCATAATATATAAAAAAGTGATAGAATTAATTTTTAGCTTTTTAATAAGTTTAGAATGATATCGTAGAATCTAAATATACTAACAATGAATTGGTAAATTAAGTGTTGTTTTCTAAGAAAATCATGGCAATATACTACATAAAACCTCAAAGACACGATTATTCATATTATTAATTGATTCATCAAATGTTTATTTTGTTTTTATACCATTAAGTTTTATATAACACTTTTTCTTATGATATTCAGCGCCAAATCTAATTAAAAATGCAAGATTCGAAAGTTTGTTTTGGATTGAATGATCTTGCCAGACGAGCTACTTAATCTTTATGTCATGGGAGAGCTGAATTACGATATGAATCGCATATAAACATGTGATTTGTTGTATAATATAGTACGTTGATAAATATATATCTGATAAAACGTACAGGTCATTTAGGATAAATTATTCCGAAATTTGTTTAAAATAATAAGCATTTATGACTGTCTGTTTACGCAATGCGATATTGTAACAACAAAATTTGTTATATATTTTAAGCCAAGCGCTTACTTTACTTAAGCAATCAGAAATTTCATCATAATTTCTATAAGCTAAACTGTACACTCATAGAAAGTACACTTATAGTGTATAGTATATCATTAAAATAAAATTAATTTATATGTCGCATGTTGCATTTTTGCTAATATTACAGATATTTCTTAATTGATAAAAAATGGTGTGCTCGTATACTCAAAAAAGAAAAATCAACATAATCAACCATTAATCAATAACATTAAAATGATTACAAATATGAAAAATATCAATGATTAAATTACTACAAATAATTTTTTAATAAAATTGGAATTTGTCGTTTTTTTAAATTAAAATAGAAAACATTTTTCTATGAAGTTTATGATGTAGTTTTTAAATTATTTTTACAAAATTATGAACATGTTTTTGAAATAATTTAATTATTAAATTTAGTTTCAATAAATCGACATTGAATTATCAAATGGATTAAATCGACATTGGTTTGTAAGATTTCCAGCACTAAAAGTCGTAATCGCCGCACAGGGTATATCATATGGATTACATATTGTGTATTCTCTCATTGCAATAAAAATGTATATACGCAGATATTACACATGTAAGCGATAAAATACTTACATAAACAAAATGATGGATATTATTATTTCAGAAGGCTCATATGAAAGAAAATTCTTCTGTACTAAATCTCGCAATTTACGAGTATTTTAATGAACGCCATATAAATTATTTTAGCTTTCGGTGTATCTAATGTAACATGCAAACCTTTTGTATATTTTTAATTTTCATATATAATTTATTAACTTAAATGTGGATGAAAATCAGGGAATATTAATGATGATATTTATTTTTAATAATAAAGCCACACAGAACACCAAGTTGTACTGATTAATGTACACAGGTATATTTTTTAATACTGGGATGTTTAACCCTTTCCACTCGGATGCCGCCTCTCTGGCAGCAAAATTCATATAAATCTTGCAATTCGCAAGTGGAAAGAGTTAATAAGTGATCAGATTGCAAAATTCTATAAAGGTGCAAATAAAATGTTAAATATGTGATTCTGTATATATATCTGATGCGTAGACAAATATAAAAAATTGACATACGTTCCCAAGAATACATATGTGGTTAGGTGTCGTTTATGTATTTTAATCAAATAATTAATAAAGAATAGAATAATACCAAGATATAAAATTGCCATCAAATTGTTTCATTTTGCAACAAATCACTTCTCTAATAATTATACATAATTATTTCATATATAATTATATATGAAAATGTAAAGAAAAATAGTACAAGATGGAAATGCAATCCAATGAAGTAAAAATTTATACAAATAAGATATAAAATAATTTAATTAGAGTGTAAATTCAAAATTATTTCATTGAATTTTTTAAATAAATTAATCTTTCATTGTAAATAATATGGCAATAATGATTAGGTCAATTGCTAAAAAAATATTTAATACATATGCAAAATATCTAGTACAATAAAATATAATAAGACTATTTGTCCTCAAGATAATAAAAAACTGTAATTATATAAATTATTTTGTTATAATCAGATTTATTTAATTATAGAAAAACCGTTCTGCAAATTTAAGTAAAAACTTTTTCTTAAGACAAAAGCCATGAACCGAGCTTCCTGTCTCAATATATCTCAATATATTCTCACACATATTTTTTTATTTTTAGGTACCTATTAAACCCTTAAAAATTCAATGTTGATTGTCCACGAATATAATCGAATTAATTTAATAATAATTTATAATTTTAGGTGAAATAGCTTCTTAATCTGGGTTATAGGATCATCAAACCGTTCTGTTGTATTGAATGAAAATT